ACTGCGTGTGCGCTAATCCACCGAGCCTGTGTGGCTCAATGCGAAGACTGCTACTGACACATCTATTACTTGTCCCTGATAGAATGTTGATATAGAGTTCCTCTGGGGAGACTTCCATCGGTGGCACTGCGTGTATATATATATCATTTGTCTCATAGATTACCCATGGCTTGTTAGTAGCCTTGTAAGACTCGCGGCCTCTCACCTGACCCCTTTATTTTTATTCTTTGTCAATAATAATAATGAACAAAAATCTATAGGGAAATATATTACCCCTTGTTCTCACTTGGGGCTCTATGGGGGTATAGTGGAGAAAACAGGAAAATATATTCTCCTATAGATTATTTTTTTTTCATTGTAGTGTGATTGCTGTATTCTACTTTGTGTCAATTCCTACTTATCTTGCACTGACCAATCTATCATTCCTGCTTAGGGCCATGGGTCACCGATCATTTATATACTTTGTATTATTTGAGAATTATGACAACTAACAAGGCAGGTTATGTGTAGTTCTATTTTGAGAATTGATGCTTTGATTTTGGGGTGGCTATTGTCAGGTTGCTATTTTTCTATTCATATAGACTCCATTCAGTGAGAACCCTTATCAAAGTTCTGATGCCATACATTGGCAGTTGGGTAACCCTACAGGTTCTGTTGAGCAGATCTCATTATTGAAGTGGTCAAGAAATACAAAAATGGCAGTTCTAAATATGAATCTAGGAATTCACCTTAAAAAGGAGGCAGCATGTGTTTTTTTGTTTCTTTACAAAATTCAGGTGTGGTTTGGCAGTTTTATGTATCGGAGGAGACACTGTTGCAGATTTATGTGCACATACAAATCTCAGTGTTTTCTTAATCCTTTGTATTCAGATTTTTTTTTTTTTTTTTTGGTTGAGGTTTAGGCCACTTATTGTAAATAGTAGATATGAAAAGACTTGCTTCCTGTGTTTGTCTGTCACTCTACAGTGTACTTCCATCTTCTGTAAATACCTCAATGGAAAGTTATTTGACATTGTTTGCTGTGCGTCCGCGGTGGAATGTCAGTGGAGCCACAGAGGATGGCGACTTTGTAGATTTTCATATAGACAAATGAGCTTTAGTTATAAACAGGGGAATGTTGGATGGCATTATTTTCATCAGCTTAATCCCGCTCTTAGTGATTTGCATTGTGGATGCATGGCATTATAAAATATGTGAATGTACACTCATTAACACCCATGTGTCACCTTTGTCTTCTGAAATATGAAAAGAAGATGCATAGTTCCCTGTAGTTTAGTAGTCATTTCTTATCTCTTAATAGTTTGTGTTCAAAGTAAAGCTGCATTCTTACAAGTTTTGCTTTTAGTCCTATAATTCCTGTCCTATGATTCTATTTTTCAATATTTTTTTTTTCTAACATGTAAAGGCTCATGTTGCAGAGACGTCAATTTTTTTGCACACGTTCTGCTAGGGCTCAATGAGATCAGTTGTCCCCTATGTGCCCTGTTCACACCACAACGCTAGTATCACATGCAGCTTTATTCTGCACAGGAATCTGCAACATGTATAAAACTTATTGAGGCATGCATGAAAATTGATGTCTCTGCAAGTGAAAGCTGTGCATCAGTTTCCATCAGTTTTTCTGCACGTATGGTATGAACAAGGCCTTCGTGTTCTATGTTTTACTTTTATTATATATATTATAAGTTGCACTAAGTGAATACAGCTGCATAAAACAAAAACTGTGCCTGTCTTCATTTCAGGCTGAAAAGCAACAAAATGTGATTATTTTAAAGGGCAGTGATTCTGTTCTATACTCACTGTGTGTATGTATGTATGTATGCAGTGGTGTATTTAGGTTTTGTGCTGCCCTAGGCAACACAAAAAACAGGCGCCCCCCATGTATAGAATCTGACATTGAACAACAACACCCCTGCCCAACCCCCTGAGAGAACCTTCCACTAATACCCCACCCCCCAGGGCGCGAGAGAGAGAGAGACACCTTCACAGCTCTGGCCATCCCCCAGAAAAAGAGTCATGCTCTCTCACCTGGTCCCCATGCCACGAGTCCCTTCTTCCATCCCTTCTTTCGGGGGAGCACTGCTGCCCCCGAGAAATGCCGCCCTAGGCAAATGCCTTTTTTGCCTTGTGGTAAATATGCCCCTGTATGTATGTATAATGTATATAATGTGTGTGCGTTTTTTTGTTTGTCTTCTCTGTTATCTGCTTTTGAGAAGTGTGGGTTAGCCTACTAAAGTCGCCCTTTTTGGTAAATTCAGAGGGCTCTACCTTTCATGACATTTCTTATTGGTAAACATTGCTAAACTCTATTTTAAAGAAACTACAGTACAATAGTTACGGGAAACTGGTGAGCACTGGATTGCAGTTCTGTCACTTTTGTATGTTACTAAATAATTTACTTGCCAAGCGATGCAGATTTCCTTTGGACAGTGTTGAATCATCTTTTGTGTTAAAGTGGTTGTAAAAGTTTAGTTTTTTTGTATTTTTTGTTTTTTTGTTTTTTGTTTTTTTTTTTAAATACTAAACATTTTATACTTACCTACTCTTTGCAATAGTTTTGCACAGTTCAGCCCCAAATCTCCTCTGCTGGCGATCTTGGCCCTCCTCTTCTCCAAGTGCCCTGATAGCAAGCTGCCTGCTTTGGGGGCACATGTGCAGGCTCACTCCCTAGCTAGCTTGTGTGCATCTATAGAAACACACAATGTTGCTGGGTCCCAGCCCACTCCTTCCTCACTGGATTTTTTTTTTTCTTTCAACCCACTGGTTGAACAAAAGAAATGATGAATGTATGGGCTGCCATAGCAGCAGAGACTTTTGCTGGGCAATCCTTATAATTATAAGCAACACAAGGACAAATAAGACAGGCCATAGATGATGCAGTTTTCTTTCCTGCAACCACAGTGTTGATGGGGTAATCCCCCACAAAACCGCTTGTGTTCTCCTGCAGGCGAAGCTGTCCCTGCCAGCAGAACGCAGTGATTATTGCTAGAAGCTATAGCCACTAGTAACAATCGCATGGAAATATCCAATATGCTGGTTGTACCCAAGTCAATCGATGGATCGACTTGCGTACAATCAGCCTGTCCATAGATGGTTAGAATTCCAGCCAGTCCCTGCTAAACCCACCGATATTCAAACCATCTATGGCCAGCTTAAACCTTTTGTTTCATGTCATGAAAGGCCTGTGTGTTTCCACCTACTTCTAAATTGTGGTAACAGAGAGCTTTTATGATCCTTGTTTTCTAGGGAAAGTTAGAGTGAGCAATCTCCCTGAAGGTGTAATCAATGTATACTTTGCTGTGTGGGATTTTCTTAAACTGCTAAACGTTGCTAACTTCAGATGGCGTCTGGTATGTCAGAAGACAGATTTCCAAGAACAGCTTGCAGATATGCAGACTTTGGGAGCAAGAGATAAGTTGGCCTACCCTAGATGACATGGACCAATACACTATGAATAAATTACACACGTATTCAATATGCTGGTCTTGGCAATGTAGTTATTTGATGCTTATCCTTCCAGTCCAATCCTAAAGCTGGCCATACACTGATAGTGTTTTTTGTTTTTCCCCTCATTTAATCTGCAACACTATACAGAGTAGATGGGAAATCTCCTGCTGTGGCTATTGTATTTTGACAACCAGAGCCTTTGGTTGTTGAAATGACCTGAACAACATCTACATCTTATAGGTTGCAGCCACTGTTTGGCTTACAGTTTTCTCTTCACCTACATTGATTTTACAGTCGAAGGATGTCAGGTGGGAGGCAACTAACCGGGCCACCTACTGAGAAATTTTTCATCCATTTCCTCAGAAACCTCCCAACAGTCACATAGTGTATGGCCATATCTTTTTATGTGCTGTATTTTCAAAGCAGTTCTTTTATGTGGATTAGACTAGCATAATGGGTATCTGTTTAGGGGGGCAATCAGTCTCAAAATACCAACCTAATCATTCTCTTCCTTCCTCCACTTTCTCCATCAGCTCATCCCCCACCGATATTTGTATCCCTTGATTGTAAGCTCTAACAAGTAGGGCCCTCTGATTCCTCCAGTATTGAGTTGTACTGTAAAGTGCTGTGCAAACTATTGATGCTATATAAAATCTGTATAATAATCAGATCTTGCTTCCACATCTACTACCAATCTCTAATATCAACTAAAGCTAGGTATGAAGAAAAAGCATTTGTATGTCAGGTTGATCACATTTTTGCAGACGTAGTTTTATTACAGGCAACACTACTACTACTTTCAAAGTCATTCTCAGTGAGTTAATGCTAGATTTGTAATGACCTTTACACTCAATAAGACATTGGGGGAGATTTACTAAAACTGGTGCACTCAGAATCTGGTGCAGCTGTGCATTGTAGCCGATCAGGTTCTAACATAAGATTGTTCAATTAAGCTTTGGCAGCAAAACCCAGAAGCTGACTGGTTTCTATGCAGAGCTGCACCAAATTTTGCATTTTCCACTATTAGTATATCAACCCCATTGTCTAGAACAGGGGGTCTTTTGCTTGCCTTTATCTGGCCTGTGGGCACTAATCCATCCTCCTGACTCTAGCAATAGGACATAATTCCCCCCCAACGATAACAATGATGGGGCACATTCCTCCTAATGACACTGATAGGGCACAATTCCTCCTAATGACACTAACAATGGGGCACTATTCCTCCCCAAATACCAAAGATGGAGCCCTGTTTACTCCTACTGATGCCAATACATTTTATACTCCCCCCCCTTGCCCCAGCCTAGCCCCCTAAACGCGGAAGGACAGTAATCTGGCCCTTTTTTTAGCAAGTTTGGAGATCCCTGGTCTAGAATCTTAGATGTTTTCTGTTGCTCACTGACTGTTGATCATTCACATAGCTTTTAACTATTCTAAAATGTGTATCTTTTTCATACATCAGGGAAAATAAAAATGTGGCTTTGTAGTATTTTCCTTTAATTTTATAACAGCTATATACATGCACACTAACAAAATATTTTTTTTGTTTATTGTAGCTAGCTATTGTGGTAATCAGAATAATGTTGGTAAAGATCTGTATCTGGACAGCAATGAAGCCATCATACGTTTCGAAAGCAGGATCCACATATCTGGAAGAGGATTCTTAATAAATTTTGCCAGCAGTGATCATCCAGGTAAAAACATGTCTCTGGATTCCTAAACTATAGCAGCTGGTACTTAATGTGAAATGATTGCGTAGTGATAATTGAGGTAACTGACCTTCTTATGACATCTGTGCACCTGAAATGGAAAGTGGCACTAATTGACACTTCAATCAAAGTTAAAGGAAAAAAACAAAACCATGAGATGCACTGAAATGTTCATCATACCACTCTCTCTGCCGAACATTACCCCCCCCCATGGTGAAATGCAGAGTTTTATTGTGCAGCTATCAAGTTGCCTTTAGGCTATACATGAGGCCCCATTCACATCTGGCATTTTGGGATCTCTGGCAGAATCGCTGCAATTCCAAATCGCACTGCAGTAGTGGCAAAATGAACCACGCATGTTTGGGTACCATTAATTTTCACCTACCAATTTTTGGGTTTCATTTAATTTTGGCACCTAAAACGCAGCACGGTTTTGCTGCAATTGCCGCACAAACTTGTCACCCAAAAAGGAGCAGGAGCTTTTTTTGGGTGGTAAGCTTTGCACGCTACAGTGTGCTGTGAATGCCGTACAACAAACGCAGCAAAACCGCACTGTATTTTAGTTGCCTTTAAAGATAAATAGCACTTGAACACCTGTGGTGCATTTTTGCCACTACTATAGTGCAATTTTGGATTGTGGACAGAACTACCGAGATTCCAAACTGCTAGATATGAACGGGGCCTGAAGGTTGCCTAGTCTGGCTACTTACAGATGGATTATTAAATGATTGTATGTCTATAAATACCCACAGACATGAGGTAACAATTGCCTAATGTGACTGTTTTCAGCCAGATTTGCCCACCACTGTTCTTTTCCTTGGAAAAAAGAAGCGCTGACGGTGTCATCTCTTCCTCTCCTACAAGAATAGAACATTTCCTTCCTAATGCATAATGTGGACTACATGCAGATCTGACCACCCTTGCAGGCGTTTTTGGAGTCCTTTGGGTGCTGCTGATCTACTGGGATTTTCAAGCACAACCATCTCTAGGGTTTACAGAGAATGGTCCAAAAAAAGAGAAAATATCCAGTGAGCAGCAGTTGTGTGGACGAAAATGCCTTGTTGATGTCAGAGGAGAATGGGCAGACAGGTTGCTGTGACATTCGGATGGTAGGGTCAGAATTTGGCATAAACAACATGAAAGCATGGATCCATCCTGCCTTGTATCGATGGTTCAGGCTGGTGGTGTAATGGTGTGGGGGGATAGCTTCTTGGCACTAGCAAGGTGTATGTAATAAAGTGTCCGGTGAGCGTAGGTCGAGTTGGTACCAAAGGTAGCTGAAAAATGCTCCCTTTTTCTCCCTGTGGGCATTAACATGTAAGCTAGGGAGACCCAAGAGTGAATATTTATGGCAGAATCCTTTGAAAGAAACCTGCCTGTTGTCAGACCATCATCTATTGTCTGCAACTAGGTTTAAACTTAAATGACAGGAAATGGTTTAGAGAGATTCTTTCTTCTGCTGCAGTAGGAAAAATAAAACTCTTTGGAGTCAGGAAGTCCATTGGAGATCTCATTACAGGACTAACCCCCCCCCAAAAAAATAAGCATCCAGCGGATGAATCGACCTACTGACATCCATTCATAACTAAAGTAACAGTTTTGGTTGGGCTCACCATTTCATCTAGAAATGTGTCCATATAAAATATAATGGATACAGCAATAAAACACAATGCTCCAAGTTCTCATCTCTCCTGGTTCCTCTGGCTGCTGTCAGATTGTCATGATTATGTGTACATATGGGGAGGTGACCTGTCATGATTATGTGTACATATGGGGAGGTGACCTACAAAGCTTACCACCCGAAAAAAAGCTCCTGCTCCTTTTTGGGTGACAAGTTTGCGAGGCAATTGCAGCAAAACCGTGCTGTGTTTAGGTGCCAAAATTAAATGAACGCTTTGGAGTGGCAGGAGGAAAGGCGAGATCGTATGCTGGAATAAAGTCGATTTTAAAGTTGGTGATTTCGTCAGTGTGTATATAGTGTTAACTTTTATGTGTTTTTAATATTATAATTTTAATATTGTACTAACAGATTTGATCACCTGCCTGGCACGTTCCAACCATTACATAGAGACAGAATTCAGGTAAGGATTATTTTCTGTGTACTGTTCTACAGTTCAGTAAGATTTGCATAGCATATAAGTATTGTTTTGTCCTCACGTCAGTGATGAATACAGCAACTGTCTGCATGTGTGTAATGTGTGTGCTATAGTCATATATTTAGGCGTTAGGAATTACTAACCTGTATTATTGATGTTATATGAACAGGATTATTATCTTTTCATATGAATATAGTTATGTAACCCCTCATTTGATGTGTAGATTTGTTTTTCATTGATGATCATAAAATATCACCCATTTTGAGCAACCTGTGATGTTTTTATCCTGTTGTATTGTCTTTCATTTTAAAAAATGCATGTGACTTTACTTTGTGTTTCTTTGTGCTTGCAGCAGGTACTGTCCAGCTGGATGCAGAGACCTTGCAGGAGACATATCTGGGGATATAGAGGAAGGATATAGGGATGTAAGTACTGAGACATTTTATTCATCTAATCCATCACATTCAAGACTAAGTGGCTTAGGGGTGCACAAGTTTCAGAAATAAAAATGCTATGGTACATTCTTTTTGGGTATCCTCTGCAAATATTAATGTTGAAGATAAGAAAAAGTGTCTGGCAATAGAAAAGGGGGACCTGTACTGAAGGTTAAATGTTTCTATTCCTTATGTCCCTTTCTGAAATTAATAGTCTGGCTGTTGCGCTGATCTGGTTTCTTTGGTAACTTCCATGTTTCTGGCATGGAACAGGTATGCAGGTTAAGTAGAAAAGCAGTACACAGTATGGCCATCAAAGATGACAAGGCCTCATTTATTACAATGCAGCTTTATTAAGAGGTGAGTTACAAAATTGGGGAGAATGTTTTAGAGACTGGCTCCTTCATTTGCCAGAAATTTCTTCTAAAGTCTGCAGTGCCCTATAGTAAGTCCATTCATTGTTCAAACATGCTGAAGTCAGGACACCAACAATTTAAATTCAGTGATTACCTTTAAAAGAACCTTTTAGGATGAGGTTTAGAATCTGCGACTACTGAACAAGTATGTGCTTTACAGAGGTTCTGACACTTCAATGATGCTTGTTCTGGTCAGCCAAGTAGTGAAGCAAGGCTGAGGATGATGGCACTGGAGCTTCTGCCTTTCAAAGTCAAGTTAGCAGTGGCAGCATCCTTTTTTTTCTGTCCAGACGGGTTTTCTATAGGAGAGTTTCATACCTGGACTGAGCATGGCATTTTGCAAGTTGACAAACAAGCTTGTAAGTAGATGAGTAGCTATTCAGCGTCTGGCCCAGTTGTACATAGTTAATGTTTAAGCCACCATATCTTATATAGGCAACTATTAGATTCTGTGCATTTCTGTCTATAATCCAGGAAGCAATTTAAAAACTCTCACTTTAATAATTAAAAGAGAAACACTATTTCTGAAATACTGTTTTATAAATGTATGTGGCTCTTACTTGTAATGATAGATTCAGGATATCTGTTTTTATTTCACATGCCTTAATATTTTTCTTTACATTTACTTGCAGACCCAGGCTTCCCACAAATGACAGGCATTGTATCAAACTAGAAGTCATAGTTTGTTCCAATCCTTGTCACTTTTGCTGGAAAAATTGGTCTTCAAGTAGAACTAGAAAAAAGTATTGCATGTCCTTGTATTAATGAAGGAATGAAAAATGTAAAAATAGAGTATATAAATCGTATAAGTTAAAAATTCTGCGCTGTAATATTTATGTGACTCCCTAACATAAGACAATCAGTAGAACATAAGCAGCCACCTTAATATTGCAGGCAACAATATATCAAATAATAAAACGTAAAAGTGCGGCGCTACATATAACCAAAACATTTTTGTTAAATGTTTGGAGTTAAAGTTTGGAGCTCTACCTGTGTCTGCATCATAGCCAATTTTTGGAATTATCCAGCGGGTGTTTTTATCCATCTACCATTGGGGGCCAGTTTGATCCTTTGACGTTCTTAGGTTTCCAGGTCCATGATATGCGTTTGGATTCTTTTTTGGATTCTTTTTGAATATTTTGAGTGTTGGTGATGGTGGATTCTCTTCATCTTCTTGACTAAATTTTGAAGTATTCATGAAAACATTGATGTCCCAATAAAGAGGCTTATTCTACGTTATATCTCCTTCGCATGTGTATTGGACTTTTTATTTACTCCATGTATTTGCACTAATTTTTTGGTTATACGTAGCTCTACACTTTTATGTTTTATTATAGAGTTTATGAATACTACCATGCAGTTATCAGTATCATATTGATGTCATTGAAGCTTCTTGTCGTTTTTGCTAAGCAGAGGTGTGTTCAAGTATGGTACATTTGAGCAATAGTACAATGAGCTCTACCTATTGGAGTATCTTTTGGGGTTCCAGAATCTGCTATGCACACCCCCAGATTGAATTTACCAATAACGTAATCATTGGAGGTCACAGAGCAGTGTCACTTTAATACTAGGTTGGTTCATTATGGCTGTTTGTTTAGCTGGCAGTACACAAGCTATCTAATTGATTTTTGTGAATGATCTCAACCTTCTGACATGGGCACCTATTGTTTATTGTAACACATTGCTTGTGGGGGAAAAAAAATATACTGGTATATCCAATTAGCAGAGTAGAGTGTGAAACTGGTCAAATATGTATTTAAAGTGATCTAGACATTGCAATATAGTTGTGTTCCAATTTTTTGCATTAAGACAAGCTAGTGATTTAATGGGCAAACACTGCTTTAAATTATAGAGTTCTGTCAAGGTCAGGCACAGATCATGACTGGGGTGAAACCGAAGCCTCTAGACACTCATTCCTTCAAATGCTGTAAGGTCCACACCTACATTTGATGCAGCCAACCCCAACCACATGAAGGCAGCTGAGATTATTGACCTCTAAGATCTTGGCTGCGTTTCCTACACAGATTGCTTGGTGTGTCCCGTACTCTTTTGAAGAGCATTTTAGCTGACTCAGGAAACAAAGAGAGAAGCCACACCTGACAATTATATATGATACTTATAAGAATAACATGAGGGTGTTAGGTGCCCTCCCCTCTTTGTACATTAATTGATCTGCTTGCTTTCCCAGCAACTGATGACCGATACAGTTCAGTTTCAGTCATTTTATAGAGATCTCTGAAGTTGTAGTTACAAAGATCATGAAACGGCTGTAAGACAGGCACAGGACCTTTTACAAGGAATGGGTTCTCACATGCGTAACGTTTAATAACCCTTGGCAACCAATGAGATTTTGTTTTAAATCTGATTGATAGATAAGGGTTACCAATGCGGCAAGGGCTTTAATAAATAGGTCCATATGGCTAATTTTATTATAACCCATAGTCCTTTTTTTTTTTTTTTTTTTTTTTTTTTTTTTTTTTTTTTTTTTTCATGTAATTCTGAGGAAACAATTTGGTTTCAAGGGTAAAGGCTGGCCATAGATGCCTTTTGTGATCAGCCAGGGGGCAGGTCGAAAATAAAACAAATGGATTTCCCTATCCACATATGGATGAATTAATCCACAGACAGGTGGATGGATAAATCTTTCCCACTGTGCCATTGTATTCTGACAGCAAGGAGTACTCTGCTGTCAGAATACAGTGATCAGTGGCTGTGGCCACTGATCAACAAAAGTTTACCCACAGTCCTGTCCAACAGAAATCAATCGGGAACAGCTATAGCTGTTTTATATTTCAGTTGTTCCTTGCTGAACCAGTCAAATTTTGATCCATCTGTGAGCAGCTTGAGTTATGGAAAGGTATTTATTTCATAGTGTATTCAGAACAAACACTGCTCTGGGGTGTGACAAGAACAATGAACTGTATTAAAGTGACACTAAATTCTATGAAATTCTGTTCTATGAAATGAAATTCTCTTCAATTATGTATTCTTAACTAAAAAAAAAAAAAAAAAAAAAAAAAAAAAACCCCGTGATATAACTCTCAGGTTCCTTCAAATCTCCAAATTTCTTTTTTTATTTTTTTGTTACTGCCGTGATCTGACTTCCTGCTAAAGGGTGGTTACATTTGTTCTCCCTATTTCCAATGTATGTAGGAGTGTAGCCACCTTTTATTGCTCAATCCCAAAATGGACTAGGGACTATGGGATTTGCAGTGTGAATGAACACATATGACCACAACTAACGTGCACTGCTTGTTCCAAGAACAAGGAGATGAGAGGGAAAAGCAGATGTTTGGGAGCTCAGGGAAGATGTCACAAGGAGGCAGAATAATACTGTATAACACAATTTCATGGAAAATAGATTACAGTACCAGTGTGTATGGAATAAGGTTATTGTTTAGTGTCACTTTAATGTATTTTCCTAATTGACAGTGAGTGTCTATATGTTAAATAGGAGTTACAGGAGAATATACAGGTGCATCTCAATAAATAAATCTTTGTACTGCTAGAAGGTGAACCTCCGCCCCAGTCTCGTCTTTTGCAGACTCTAACAGGTTTTCTTGTAAGATTGCCCTGTGTTTGGCTCCATCCAACTTCCCATCATCTCTGACCAGCTTCCCTTTCCGTGCTGAAGAAAAGCATCCCCACAACATGATGCTGCCACCACCATGTTTCACAGTGGGGATGGTGTGTTCAGGGTGATGTGCAGTGATAGTTTTCCTCCACACATAGCGGTTTGCTTTTAGGCCAAAAAGTTCAATTTTGGACTCATCTGACTATAGTACCTTCTTCCACATGTTTACTGTGTCCCCCACATGGCTTCTCGCAAACTGCAAACAGGAATTCTTATGGCTTTCTTCTTCGCACTCTTCCATAAAGGCCAGATTTGTGGAGTGCACAACTAATAGTTGTCCTGTGGACAGATTCTCTCACCTGAGCTGGGGATCTCTACAGCTCCTCTTGAGTTATCATGGGCCTCGTGGCTGCTTCTCTGATTATTGCTCTCCTTGCCCGACCTATCAGTTTAGGTGAATGGCCTTCTTTTGGTATGTTTGCAGTTGTGCCATACTCTTTCCATTTTCGGATGATGGATTGAACAGTTCTTCGTGAGATGTTCAAAGCTTGGGATATTTTTTTTTTATAACCTAACCCTGCTTTAAACATCTCCACAACTTTATCCCTGACCTGTCTGGTATGTTCCTTGGCCTTCATGATGCTGTTTGTTCATTAATGTTCTCTAACAAACCTCTGAGGGCTTCACAGAACAGCTGTATTTATACTGAGATTAAATTACACACAGGTGGACTCACCTTAATTAGGTGACTATTGAAGGCAATTGGTTCCACTAGATTTTAGTTAGGGGTATTAGCGTAAGTGGACTGAATGCAAATGCACACCACACTTTTCAGATTTGCATTTGTAAAAAAGCTTTGAAAACCATTTATCATTTTCCTTCCACATCACAATTATGTTCCACTTTGTGTTGGTCTATCACGTAAAATCTCAATAAAATACATTTACGTTTTTGGTTGTAACATGACAAAATTGGAAAATTTCAAGGAGTATGAATACTTT